TATGATGCGACCGGGCCATATTTTATCTAGCTCGTGCAATACGAGTCCATTATACGTTTAGTCCATTAACTGTATTGTGTGTGTATATATATATAGACCGCAAACGTTTTAGCCCTATTAAGGGCTATTACTAGCGCGTGTTTTTATTCGACGTGTTTAGTTCAAACATTTCAGAGATTTGAACCGATTTCAAGTTAATGGTTGACGGGATTCTTTCACGGTCTGTTCTTACAATTAGTCAAACGCGGAATCCAATTCAGTGACCGAAGTACCGCGCAAAGCCCATTAATAAACTGATTCCTGTCTCCATAATAAAGGTGGCGAAATTGGAATTTCGCCGACGCAATAATGAACGATGTTGGTCAAAATTTTGCCGTCTCCTCATCAGTTCTCGCGATTTTCAACGTCTTTCGTTCATGTAACCCTTTGCAACCCATTCTTTCTTTTTTTTAAGTCAAGAGAAACATCTATAACGTGAAGTTTGTAAATATTAAACTTCTGATATTAACTAATTATATAAACATTTAGAATTTATATACACTTTTAGCGATTGAAATTGTTCTAAATTTATAATTCATAAACCAGTTTCATGGTTGGAAAGAAGTAGTAGAATAATAGTTTTATAATTAACTACTTTGTCGTAGAATGGAAACCTTCGATTTTTGCTGATCCTAATCGCATGATTTCATAAAATTTAATTATGAATTACTTCTACGTTCCGCAAATTAAAATACATATTTAAATTCATAAAGACATTTAAAAGATTAACTAATAATTACGTTTCACTATCTTGGAAATATTTTTACGCACAATCGAGTTGCATTACTTAATACAAACTTAGCCAAATAAGGATAAATAACTTTGAGAGAAGAACAAGACAAATTTGAAAATAATTAACTACGTAAGATAAATTAATCGCGCAGTATCTATACCGTAGACAGTAATTATTTCATGTATGGAAGAAATATTTCCAAATAATAAACAAAACCTATTTTAATCATCCATGAAACCGGTAGCATACTAATAAATTCAAGCCAACATAGTTATGGGATATTAAACATTTCTCATAAAGCTGTAAAATATGCGTTATTCAGACGGCAATACGTTCCCTCGATACACAGCTTAAAACGCTATTACTCGTTTAATGGATGTATGATAAACGTAAAATTGTACACTAAATATTGTAGCTATTAAATGATAACGAAAGGGACCCTCGAACGATCTGCCAAGATATTCATACCCTAATATGTAAAATACATTTTAACGTCCTGCATCAATAACGTCAATTTATGTGTACCGGAATGCTAATTTACCAAAAGAAATATACGAAAACGTATAAATACGTGATAAACATATAATATTAAATCTCTACCAAAATCTGAGTTCTTCTTTGTCCTCGCATCCACAAAAATTATGAATAAAATATATATAGGCTTAATAAATATTTGGTACATTCATGTCAATGCATTATTCCTACCATAATCTTACCTGACATTTGATTAAAAGTGTATCAAATTTTGCTGTATGTTTTTAATACCTTGCCAGATAATATAGGGTGAGTTAGAAAGGAAGGAAAATATTTGAAGACAACGACATTTTGGATCATTACAAAAAAGAGTATACGAACATATCTGCTATTCTCTGTAGTGTCGAAAATGCAACTGTTTAAATTTTGCAAAAGTACATGGAATAATAATGGATCGCACTCGCATGAATTACGTTCACGGCAAGTGTAAGAAAATGCTGCGAAGAAATATTGCATCGATGTTTACGGTTCGCTTTCTGATCACTTGTTTCAATCATAACACATCAACCATTAATTGCTGTTCCATGTACTTTTATAAAATATATACACCTATAACGCTACAATGAACAAAAAATGTACTCTAAGCGAGATTAATTACTTACGCCAATCCAAATGAAACTTCTTGGCTTCAGCGAAATTAATTTTGAAAGGATCGTCACTGTTACAAGAATCAAGTGGCAATGATTTTGCAAACAGAATTTCATATATAAAATTAATCGCAAGAATTGAACATTTTTATGAAAGTTACGTTACTTTTGGATAAAATGTGTATAACTCGGACAACCTAGTATTCGTTATAAAAAAGCATTAACGAGAGATAAATATTGTTTAAAGTTGACGCAAGAATGAATTCACCGGTAACTGTCAGAGATTTGAGAAAAAACATCAAACATACATAATGCTAATAAACTCCCGTTTATTACAAAAATATTAATAATCCTTTGAAAACCTTTCACTCTCCGAAGTGAAACAACTTTTCATTCTAACACGTTTACGTACAGTCAAATGTAATGATAACGAGTCAAACGGACTTGGTGAAACTAAGCTTAAGAAAATTGAGTATAGTTTAAAATTTGTCCTAATTTCATTCAACCCACTCGTGTCTACTTTCCTTGTTCTAGTCAATAAAGTATCAATTCGGCCGAAAAATTTCTCTCTTCAGAAAAAATTTTTTTTTTAGCTTGATGTAACGAGAGTAACAGCTTCGTATAAACTTTCTTTTTTATAATGGCCGAAACTATCGCCTCCAAAAATACATTCCACTCCTTCCGACTCACCAGTATACGAACCTTGACATGTGAAAATAACTAATTCACTGCCTCGCTACTTGCTTATTAAAGCATGAAAGCATCGCATTTCACCAAATTTCACATTTCCGTCCTAAATAGTAGTGTTCTAAGAAGCTGAATCACCTAGATTCCCTGAACTGAATACAACCAAGGCGCATTAAGGACGTGAGAAACAAATAAACAAATAAGCAGTGTTATTAATGCCGCGCGTTACACACGGTGCACGCATCCGTGCCTTCTTCATTAAATAAACGTTCTTTGCTCTCTTTTGGCTAACTCGACACATCGTGTACCGTACCAAGTAACCGTTCTTGCCGACAGAAGTTATACGGACAAGAACTTCAAGTCTCGTAACTTAATCATTGTCCACATTAAGTTATTATAAATTACTATTTATTTGTATCCCAAAACGAGTTATCATATACCGTTGCCGTTATTTCTCCGCATTCGTGCCTTCCTCATTATATAATCATTGTTTTTATTTTTATTTTCTTTTGGCTAACCTTTAACATGTCCCGTAACGTGCCAAGTAACTATTCTTGGGAACGGAAATTATGCGGACAAGAACTTGAAATTTCATGACTCGATCTCATTGTCCACATTACGTTATTATAAATTACTATTTTTTGTATCCCAAAACGAGTTATCATATATTTTTTTTTCATTTATATGTACGCAGGTCTTCCGCATTGTATAATCATTCTTTACTCTCATTTGGCTAACTTTCGTTACGTCGTGTACCGTGCCAACTAACAGTTTTTACGGACAGAAATTATGCGGACATGAACTTCAATTCTCATCTCTCCTTATTCGATAATTGCCTACATCAAGCTAGAGTAAATTAATTTTCATTTGTATTTCAAAACTTGGACAAACCGAACTTTTAATCGTAAGAACTTGTACCGGAACGTGAGTCTTCGTTTCCCGGAAGTTTAATGTTAAAATGTTTGTTATTACTTAATGTTAATGTACATTAATTCTGAGAATACTTAAAAATTATCAAATATTTTTAAACTTCTGTGTAATACCTTCCAGGGCAATTTCCAAAACGTCTTTTGCGTCGAAATCTATAAATATAATTGTTCAACATTTTTTTATGATTTCAATATCAAAATATTCATCTTTGAATCCCTTTAAAATTAAATATCGAGCAGACTGCTTGTTAGCAAACTGAGATTCGATTAAATTGCATAAAAACATGAGAACAAACGATTTTTATCCCACAGGGAGAAAACGCACATTATTCGTTACTGAACGATAATAATAATATTTAAAATAGGGAACCGTGCAACTGTAGGTAACTCTTAATTAAAAATAGAGCAAAGATAAATATACAAATTTATTGCATAATTGAGTCAAGGTGGAAAATGGATGAGAACCTTCGATCACTAAATTATTGTCATTTTATTATTTCATGGAGATTTAACGGTTACGTATTCAGTCCTTTTAACTCTCTCGTTGTCTGTTACACGTAAACGGTACTGTAAGAAGTGGAATCACCCAGATTCATCGAAGCGGACCAAAACAGGGTAATCTTTAACAATTCAGCTACAGCACAAACAAACGCAGGTGGGAAGAGAATCATCCGAGATTGTCGGAACGGAGAGAAAACGATAGTGCAGCCCCTGTCGCTCGTTCCATTGGATCATTCGAAAAATTCTGTGGATTTTTGCACAAAGTTGAAGGAAGAAGAACAAGTTCAAGGAATAACAAAAGCGAGTGGACTATCGGTTTTCTCAAAGTCCGCGTACACGGACGGCCACGTGGCACCATAACCATACCCGTAGAGAAGAAACTCACGTCCGCCGACGTACCCGTTAATCCCTAATAGCTACTTACCCCAACGGCCCTAACATCGTTAATACAAACTAATTAACCCACGATTAAAATTCGAAAACCGATCGACTCTCTCCCCGTTGCCCCGCGAAATATTTATCAAAGATCAGCTAAAATCGGATACTATCCCAACACCCCACGTTTAGCTAGTCCCCTACTTCCTCATAGGTGGATAACGATTAATCGTACGTTTCTTCCGACGCTATTTCAATTAGAATATGAATGAAAATAACTCGACCGATCGATCAACGACATATCTCGTCCTCTATTAGCTCCAATCGGAGTCGGGGCAGCCAAAAGCGTCACGATTCTCGATCGGTAAATCTCAGTTAACCGACGATGCCGTGATCACGGTTCGTGCAACCGGCCCCAAGGTTTCGCCTCACCTTCCGGACAAACGGGGACGATCGGGCCGGGATAAGTGTCGAAATTTCAGGAACATAGGTGCGCCCTCGCGCTCGACAAAGGACGCGGAAGAGCGCGCGTCTGGTCCAGATAAACCAACCGACATAAACGCGGACAAAGCGTCTCGCGCCTCGCGCCCCGTTAAGCCTATCGTCGGTACCAACCTGTGAAACGAAGAGCCGGGAACGCCGTGGATGCGGGGTTTCATTTAACTTTCACGTTAGTCCGGAACGAAGGAATCCCGCTCGTGGGCTCCGGATTAGGCCACGCACCTCTCGAATCCGGGTCCTGGTCGCACCCTGGTCGGATCCGAGGTCACTCGCCGTCGCTCCGCCCACGAGGTTCAAGGTCACTCGAGGTAACCCAGCGCCGCAAGGTTGGGCCGGCCACCTCGAGTCAGGTCCGCCAGGCTGCGCTGGGCCCGGTCTCGCCCACGAGGGCCAGGGAACTCGAATCGGTCGCGCTACCCGTTGCCGCTCGCGGACGACACTGGACGACACTGAAGAGGAACGACCGCCGGACGGACTCGCGGCTTCGGTGCGTGCACATGACGGGGACGACGCAGCGGTACGGGCGCCGACCGAGAAGGAGAGAGACGGAGGCGGGGCGCCGAGACCGGCCGAGACCGGCCGAGGCCGACCGACACCGACCGAAAGAAGGACGAGACGGGCCTTACGGTCGCGGGCCTGCGCGCGAGAGGCTCGATGTCATTGGCGCCGCACCCTCGGGCGCTCCGATCTCGCTCCGCAGACCCGAAATTTTGGCCCCGTTCGCTCCTTGACCAATGACGATTGACGCGCAGTTTTTTAACCGTAATTAGTTCGCGAATCGGCGAAATTCGCGTCACCCGAAGATTAAGGTGTTACGAAGGGGCCATTCTAAAGATATCAAAATGTTCAAATATTTATATCATTCGGTGCACCGAAGAATTTGAAACTTTAACGCCTGATTATGCGGGTCCTACTTAAGGTCTTGAAACTCGCCAAATTAAAATTTTTAAAAACTCCATTGCCCGTGGTTATCGTTATGCGAGGGAAGCGCGAAAGACTTTCCGACCCGAAATTTTAGCCCTGCTTTGAACCCGAGTAACCCATGTAAGACCTTTTTTGATCTTATTTCACTTTTGTTCCGTTCCTATCCTCGTATGTCTCGATTAATACAAATTAAACCCTATTGGACCTTCCCGATTTCTCCGTCAATGTCGATTGTTTTTGAACTTAAACTTTGAGCCTCTTATGTCCTTGTTTGAAATTAAAAGTCTTGTTTTATTTTAAATCTTGAAAAGTTTCTACCCTGAAAGTGACGTATTAACGCGTTCCATGCCACGCCGTGTACCACCCGAGGTTAATGCGTATTATCGGTGGTACACGTGGCACGGAACGTCTTAAAGAGATTTAAGGAAATGAACGGGTTGCTCCGGCGATACAGTTTGCGAAACTAACGGAACCAAAGTGGTCCCAAAGTGAACAGTGGGACCCTATTATTCTACCGTACGAGCGAACTTAGTCTTAGGTCTTGAAAATCTCGAACCTCATGGGCGCCGCATTCAGGGGGCACCTGGATTCCAAACTTTCCACGTGTAGGTCACTCCTGAGCTCTAAAATTATACCTAACAATTTATTCGGAGTAAATAAATTTCTTTATGAAAAAATCGGTTATTTTATATATATATATATATATAATAATATACAAGTTCGTTATGATCACTTTTGCATCATGGTTTCCCTGGGGGCTTTTACCTTTACAACCAAGTAGTAGTGAAATATTTTATAATGTATATAATTCGTTTATTAAAATATATACTGTTTGCAGCTCGCTACAAATAACTTCAAACACTTTGGTACTTCACAGTTTTATCTTATTAATAAGTACATAATTAAAAATCCCAAAAATTCTGATTTTATTAAAAATATTTATTTACATTCCTTTATAATAAAGGTATAGCTATATTTTTACACATACAGGAACAATAACAGTTTTATGTACACGAAGCATTACATTTTACTAACTTTCACCCTGTACGTTAAATATATTATCACACGAGATTGACATCTTAAGATTGAAGTTCACGTCACTGCCATTTACATTCGCGTCTTACAATAACGTCAAAATATATTTAGAAAATAGTACTATGTACCAATAGAAAAAGTCTATCAAATGTCGTGGCTGTTTACATTACGATGTTTCGTGCAAATTTTTAAGGTCTTTTAATTTCTTATCTAATAATTCTATATCTAGGTGATGTTTACAAAGATATTGTCCCTCCAAAAACAGAACTGGTATATCGTACCGATATAGTGTTTTAAATCGTTCATTACCTGGGGCGGTAATATCAATATATTCTAACTGATATTGTCCTGCAAAGTGTCTATTTAAATCTTCCTTAAGGACGTCGCACAAGGAACATGGATTCTTCGTAAATAAGGTCAATTTAGGTGGAGTTGATACCGAGTGAGACCTATGGAATGGTACGAATCTAATCTGTACTCTTTTGTATTTTTTTTTAATTATCTAATGCGTTATTAATGGAAAGAAAATAAAAGTCGAAGTATTAACGTCATAATAGATATCAAGATTTATTAAATGTTCTATGTATAAATCACTAAATATAAACCATTAAAAAAATATGTGTATATAAAATTGTAAAAAATAACAGCATAAAAAGGTTTGATATCTCTGTTTAGTCAAGAATATTCATTTTCCTTATAACAAAGTACTCGGTTCATTTCCTCTATTACCAGTACACTTGATAAACATTCCGGTCTTCCTATTCAATAAGCTTCATCAAAAAGTAACAAGTAAAAGATTTTCCTCTTTAAAATGAACTTACAGTTTCTCAATAAGAATTGAAGAAGCTCCACCTCCACCGTTACAAATGGAAGCGACTCCTTTTTGACCAGCCTTTAGGGAATGCGTTAAATGAACAATAATTCGAGCCCCAGACATTCTAGAAAATAAGTGAAATTCTTATTAGAGAAACATAGGGGAATATAATGGACAGATATTCACAGTACAGATTGCTGTCACATTCCAAAGAATTCAAAAGTCTTTGTGGAAGCCCAGAACGATTAAGACATTTGATGCTTATTATTAAAATTTAAAATTATTTAAATAAAAAAACCGGGTTGCACCCATTTTCCCTACCCAATTGGATGTCCAAGTGACACCGCTCCACCGTGGATATTCACTTTAGATGGATCTATATCAAGTAGCTTTTGATTTGCGACAACCACCACACTAAATGCTTCATTAATTTCCCACTGTGCTATGTCACTTTTATTTACTCCCGCGTTTTGAAGTAACTGTGTAAAACAGAATAGTAACGAGTTTCAGAAATATGCAACTATATAGATGTTGAATATTATAAGACAAAAGAAGTGTTAACTGCATTTTAAAAGAAGACTTACAGAGGGAATTGCTAATGCAGGAGCAACGGGAAAATCAATAGGATCTGTAGCAGCATCTTGGAAAGCAACAATTCTTGCTAACGGTTTCAAGTTCAATTTTTGTGCCACTTCAGTGGTAGTTAAGATCAAAGCAGCAGCTCCGTCATTTAAGGTGGACGCGTTTCCAGCAGTTACTGTGCCATTCTCTTTCTGTAACAATTGCAGAACTATTTTTAGTTACCAAAGAGTGATCATTGCCTACATTTACAAAGGTCATGCATTGGGGTAAAGTACTTGCAAATTAATAACTTATTTATTTTTATTTCACAACTACTTTACCATAGCAGTCACAGTAAATGCGGTCAACAAATTCATTATGTATAATAAAACACACTGAAGAATTCGGTCTAACCTGGAACACAGTACTGAGTTTTCCGAACTTATCGAAATCAACTTTCTTATACTCTTCATCTTCTGCAAATATTACGTCAGGTTTACCCTTCTTTTGTGGTACATTGACAGAAACCAATTCGTCCTTAAATGCTTTAATTTCATAAGCTGTTGCACTGCGCTTGTAACTGTTAATAGCATATTCATCTTGCTGCTGACGAGTAATTTGCAGCTTTTTTGCTGTATTTTCTGCACAATTGCCCATGTGAATTTTGTTGTAAACATCGGTAAGCCCATCAAATACAATCCCATCCTAATATAGAAGACAAAACGTCTAATATCACTGTGTATATTAAATATTAAATGAATGATTATAGTTCATAAAAAAATTATTATTTTAATATAAATTGTTCCTTGAAAAACCTTATTAATTATATGCATACATAATTACATCAGTTTGGATGAAATTAGATATTTTTGTTTGAAGATGATCACTAAACACTTGAACGTGTGAGTCACTTTTACAATAAATAGAAATATTCACATCATGTCGGTATTTACAGATTATCTAACCTCTATTTTTGTACCTCCATAGGGGATTTGACCTCGCTTTAGATAAAATGGAACATTGGACATTGATTCCATTCCACCAGCGAGTACAATATCTTGATGTCCCGTTTGCAATGTTTGTGCTGCGAGCATAACACTTTTCATGCCACTCGCACATACTTTATTCACTGTAGTACAAATTGTTGACTTTGGAAGACCTAAAAAGTAGTTACGTTAAATTCTTATGCTTGGAATAAGTGTTTAACTTAATAATGGTAATTATTATTTTTGATCAATTGTATCATCATTGGTAATAACTTATAATAATATGGGTCATAACTTATAATTTATCAATTCATGTAACCAACCTGCAAATATTGTAGACTGTCTTGCTGGTGCCTGACCGAGAAATGCTTGGCAGACATTACCCATATAAACTTCTGTTACCTGATCCTTGGCGATTCCAGCTCGCTCAATTGCAGCCTTGAATTTATAATATTTTCCAATATTATTTAATTCACATATAAAATAACCTCCATAGAACGTATGTTAATACTAATTAATAAATTCTTATGATGTTTACATAAAAGGATTAATATTTATCATTGAAAATCAATGTACCATTCACATATATATGTACTCATATATAGGGTATTGCAAGAAAAAGAAAGAATTTGATCCGTCACTTTGCAACACTATTCTTATATTGAATATCATTTATATATTTATCCATAGAGAGAGATCTTAGTACATATATAATAATATTTGCAACCACATACTAAACTAAGTCAAGGTATTCCATTTGGAAAGTTATATAATCGATATAACAGTAAAAAATATTCCAATCTCACTTGTATTGCAACCGCTCCAAGTTTAGTTGCAGATAATGATGATAACGAGCCAAGAAACGATCCAATAGGTGTTCTTGCAGCGCTAACAATGACAACATCATTGAGCTTTGCTTTCGAGCTGTATAGCCGGGAGGGAATGGAATTAACCTGGAGAAATTAAAAGAAAAATTACATTTTTTAATAGACATATTATTTTCAGTTCCTGTATAAAATTGATTACAATTATGTACAATAATATACTGTTTAAAAACAATCCCTACACTTTAGCATAACGCATAAATCAGGCATAATTAAAATCTATTAATGAAACTCCACATTCTAATCATCCACCAAAACCTAGTTATAAGACCAGACTGGTAATTAAAATTATAGTTTAATTAAATAAAATAATAACTTAAGTACCTTTAAAGAGGAAAGCATATTGAATGAATACAAAGTTTCAAATGCAAAACAAATTTTAAAAAGACCTCAAATGCCTAAGTTTTTAAAATTAAAATTTTGTTATTCAATATCTTATCACGAGGCCACTGCCATTCATTACCACTTAGCGATACTAACCACTGTTTCGCCCAGTCGCCACTAGTCGCCATAATTTATACGCATGGTCTTAAGGCCGTTTCATATGGTGCTTGTTTTCTTGCAGGATTGCTTGCTTGGAGCCGTACAGGCAACTTTGCAAAGAGCCGTGCTTAAAAATGACGTCACTACCAAAGCTCCTATACTACAGAGGATTGCTCGATCTCTAAACTCGCCATAAAGTCAAAGCAAAAGAGTTTACCCCTTCCACTGCTATGCGAGGTCTAGATATTTTTGGTCTAAGACAGAGATGAGTTGGGAGATTGCTCACGGGCAGGGTCGCGCGATCGCAACGTGTACTGCCCTCTGATTTCGTACGTTAGCTTTCACCGTTTTTTGCCCCCAAGGGCGGCGTAACGAATTTCTGGTAGGGGCCCGCGCAATCGCGATGGCTGTGCCATCTACCAGTT